TGCATTCAAGTTATAAATTTGTTTGGCTTTTATATGAAGGATATAAGCATGAGTTTACGTCTAGTTTGAACATATTTAGGTAACTTGCTTTATAAAAACAATTTAAGTCAGCACTGCGTCTTAAAAGGTAACCCTGTGGTTTCAGATGCTGCCCTAGGTTTTTGGCATTGGAATTCAGGTGGAGGGAAAGCGAATGTTTTTCCTCTTGGCACAGGGCTCTACCTCTCCTGTGGGCGTGGTGGACCAGAGCAGAGAGAGTAGCCATGACCTCGAGTGCAAAGCTGGCTGAGCTGACAGCTCTTCAACACCGCCAGTCTGCAGGCTGGCAGCTTCTCCAATTTTACACCCTCCCAAAGGTTTGTTTGTGGACTTTGTTTTGTGATCCAGTTGACCATGGTGTTACTGCTGTGCTTTATAGTATTTCTGCCTTTGCAGTCAGGATCTTTGAGACTTATGGCTCTAAGGGATAAAATGTTTCCTGTTACTTATGTAACCTAGATGTCAGCAAGGATCATGCTGCCTGGCGAGATCTAGAGGGGATTAATCCAAACTTCCCATTCTTCCCATACCTGGCTCTGGAAAAGGCCAGCGCCTTTCCGGTGCTTCTGTGGATTTCCATGGACCTTGTACTCGTGCTCACCTCTGGCTCCCTGTTCCTACTTGTGTAGGGAGCATATTTTCCCCTCTGCATCTTCTTTTATCCCCACTTTGGCTTCCATCCAAACATAGAATTTGTCCTTTTCTTTCATTTCTGCTAAAACCCACGAGACTTTTGCTTGTATAGTAAACATTACTGAAGGTTTAGGGATATCTTGCGGGAGGGAGTGAAGTGAAGGGAAGAAGAGGGTTTATTTTATAGCAACACAAATGATTTGACATCAGATGTTTGATGTTTCTGTTCTTCCAAGTCTTTCAGCCATTCTACCCCCTTCCTCTCTCACCTTTCTCTCTCCTTCCACTCCCAAATTTCTGGTCCTTTCAAACAGAACTGTTCCCCTGTCTCTTTTTAAGCCTTGTCTTCAGAATCTCACCTTTTCGCCCCCACAGCTTGTCAAGATAGTCTCCCTAACAATTTCCTTCCCAAAATGCATTCTGTTGTTAGGGAGTTAGATGACTGTGGGGTGCCCCCTGCACCTATCGAAGCTCTTCATTTTACATTCCTCTTGTCTGGGAATAGAACAAATATCAGCTCAGTGCTTACAAAGCACTTTCACCTACATGAGCCCCTGGGTGAAATATCATGCCCATTTTACAGATGTGGAACCAGAAGCTCAGAGAGGTTGAGTGAATCATCTGAAGCCACATAGCCAGCTAAGTGGGGGAGTAGAAATCCGCACCCAGATCGAAGATTTTGATCTATGACCCATGTCATCATACACAGACAGGATGAATGCTGTCTGAACCTTCAGGGATCTGAGGCCACATGGATTCCAGTGTAAATGATTAACATGGGACAACCCAGTTGGCCTGGGGAGGGGGACGGGGGGCAGCCCCAGCAGGTGTGTGCATTCTCCAGGAGTTGGACTGCCAGTTCCCACCCCATGCCTTCCTCTTCCTTCTGTCTCTTGCTGGCCAGCTCCTTCTCATCTTCAGGTCTAGGTATAGAACTGGCTACATAATGTGTGGGGCGCAGTACAAAATGAAAATGCTGGGCCTCTTGTTCAAAAGTTATTAAGAATTTTAAAACGACAGGAGAACATTAAGCTAAGTATGGGACTCTCGGAAGCAACTATACCGGTCATATGCCCACAAAGCCAGCCCTGTATGAAGGTTACCCCCTCCACCCTCTGCCAGGAAGCATCCTCTGGCTCCGCATTCTGAGCTCGGTGCTTATCATATGCTGTCATCGTTTCTTCTTTATGCGCCTGTTCCCCCGTTACTCTGTGAGCTTCGTGAGACCTGTGTCCTGTTCGCTGTTGTTTCCTGGTGCCCAGCACAGGCCCTGACGAAGAGTGGGGGCTCAGTGGATGCCCCATTGGGGGCTTGGGGCTCCTGAAAGTGAGACCTGGAGGAACCAGGTGGTGAATAGTAATGTTCAGGCAGTACCCACCCAGGACCACACAAGTTCAGACCAGGCATGACTGAGCCTATGGGACTTGGCAGGGGTTTCGGGCATGGGGTGGAGGTGACGTGGGAACTCATTTTCTCTTCAAGAGAGTATGTTAATCATTTACTGCCCAGGACCTCACAAACCCTGCTCCTCAGGGCCAAGTAAGGTGTGACCAGCCAGGGAGGTGGGGCACGGGCAGGGGACAAGGGCAGAGAGCATGGAACAGACACAGAGCCCTTCCTGGGGCTACACAGCCTGGCCCACTGACCCTTCTTTAGCCTCCTGAGGCTTCTAAGGCCCCCATGCCCCTTACCCACCCTCCCTGCTCAATGGTGTGTGTGGGAACAGGGAACTATTTCTCTAATGTCTCCTCAAAGCTAGGGGAAGGGAAGAGGGCAGAATTCTCAGAAGTTTCAGACAACAAGGAGCCCTCATGTGGAACCCCCTGATTCCCACAGATTTCTTTTGGTTCTAAGTGATGGAAACCCTACTCTGTAAGCAGAAAAAGAGATGTATAATATTAGCTGAAAACTGAGAAGCTCAAGGGCAGATATATCTTTAGGGATTGCTGATTCTTGAGCCCAAATGATGTCACCAGAGCTCAGTTTCTCTCTTTTCATTTCTTTCTGGTTGGAGGGCAAGGTTTGAGACCTCCTGAAAACTCTGGCCAAAACCCTGGATGGGCTCTGATTGGCTGGGCTTAGGTAATGAGCACATCTTTGAGCCAATCCCTGTGTGTAGGGATGGGAGCAAGGATGGTCCCTCCAGATTCCCTCCCATAGGTCCCTCTCCTCCCCTGTGCTGCCGTGCATAGGGCTGTGCTGCCAGGGGAGGGGCAGGAAGGGGATGGATCGGCAGAGCAGCCAGTGACCACTGGTGTTTTTTTGTTTTTTTAACCCAGCACCACCTCCTCTCTGTGTCACTGGCTTCTAAGCCTCTAGAGTCAGGTCCCAGGAGGATCCTTGTAGAGAGGAGACTGCTGAGCGTGGGGAACTGCCTGGAAAGTCAGGGCTCTGGCTGGTGCCCCAGGTTCCCTGTTTCTAGAAACCTCTTCCCGTCTTCCTTCAGAGCAGATCCCAGGGTTGTCTGCACAGCACAGGGTGAGGAGACCACCAAGCAGTACTTTCTCAACTCCAGATTGCCTCTCTTTGAGGCTGGGAAACATTTTTTATTTTAGTTTTACCTCAGAAATAAGCCAGTCATAACCAAAGGAAGACAAAGAGAACCCTATATGAAAGAATTAAGTGCCCGCTGCTTTTGGGTCCTTTCCTTTAGACTTCTTTTACCACAAACCTGTTCCCCAAGGCCAAGCAAGGCATGAAGAACTCTACTGATGATGGTGATGAGCATTTTCTTCAGCCCTGTGGGCATTTCTCTTTTTTCAGATGTATTCAGAGGAAAGACCAAATTTTTTATCAGTTGATTCCATATTTAGTGGGAAAATAGGAAGATTTCTCAAGAACCTGAGGTGGTGGAGAAATGTCTCCTTGCTGTGGTTGTTCTACCTGTGGTTCTGGGTCAGGCGTGAGGAAGGAGCTGGATCTTAAAGCCAGGAAATCCAGGTTCCATGCCTGCCCTCTCAGGACCTTCAGGTCGACCTTGGCTCCTGTCACTGGGCCTCACTTGCCCCACCTGTAAAGTGAGGGGTTGGACAAGATGACCCCACAGTTCCTTCTTAGCTCTTAATTTCTGTGAGTCTAGGTCAGGTCGAGAAGGAAGACCAATCAGGATTCTGGTTCTGTTCCTGCCCTTGCCATGACTCACTAGGTGACCTTGGGTAAGTTCCTTATCTTGTTGGACCTGTTCCCCACCCTTGAACATCCTATATCCCATAGGAGGGCTGTCTAAAAGGTGGTCAGTATTCAGGAGTCCTTTTCCTCAGCAGGCTCACCACTGAGGACCTTGTGTACTAGGAAACTCTAGACTGGGTCCAGCCCCCCGTATCTGGGGCTCACACCTAGTCACATGGCTTCAGGCCTCCCTGCCCTATTTAGGCCACTCTGGTGTTGCTCTGTCTTCCAGACCCGGAAACCAATATGGACATGCCTCAGCCAAAATGTTCAACTCTGCAAAAGCCTCATCAAGGAATGTTCTGAGCCAGTGGGAGGGCCTGATGCTGGGTAGGACATCGAGGAAGTAGATGTGACTCCCATCCTTGGGGAGCTCATTGTCTGGGGTGGAGAGGAAGGGCCAGTGTGAGCCTTTACCAGGTGTGGTGAGAGAGGGACAGTGGAAGAGAGGATTTCAAGTCGGGGGAACTAAGAGGAGGTTTTGGATGGGACGTTGAAGGATGGGGTGGACCTGAGATGGAGCTGCAGGCTGAGGGCCCAGTGCAGTGGAGGAAGTGCAGACAGTCCATAGCGTCTGGGGGAGGAGGCTGATGAGTCTGGAAGGAGCATGAGACCAAGTCTCCAGAGGCTGTCATGGCCTGGACTCGGGGCTGGGGAGGCAGTGAGCGTTCTAGACTGGTCAGGAACCTTTTGGTTGCAACTGATGGGAACTGAACTTGAACTAACCTAGGCAAAAAGGGTGATTTATTGGGAGAACTGAGAATCTGAGGAAGGTCTGAACATCCCAGCACGGGAAAGACGAGGGTGCTGCTGGCTTTCAGGAACAGCTGACCCGGTGCTTGGACACCATCAGGACCCATCTCTTGATCCTGTTTCTCTGTGCTGGCTTCATTTTTCTCTTTCGTGGCTAATTTCTCTGCATGGGGAAGGGACTTACTGGCCCAGCTCAGGTTCTCACCCCTGGATCTATCACCACATGGTAACAGGCTGCTCTGCTACTGCCTGCAGAAGCCAGGGGAAGGCAGCTTCTGAAGGAAGGGACCATGCTGAGCAGGCAGCCCCAGAGCCTTTCCCTGAGTTTCTTAGCAGGAGAATATGGCCTGATTTGACCTGCACTTTGGGAAGAGTAGGCATTAAAGACAACAGTTTTCTTCCTTTTATTCATAAAAACAAATTTGCAACAATTTATTAAAAATTGATACCATGCAATAGGGGTACGAGAAATTCCTCATTTACATTTGATTCTGGCAGTTCCAGTCTAATTTAAAGCGTTTGTGCACTAACATTGGAAAACACCTTCAGGCTGAAGCCTCTTCGGAAGTGTATGGTGTTTGCTGCATATAAAAGGACAGAACCGTTAAATAGAGTCACTTCTGTGGGTCTTGTTATTTGTGGGGAAATTTTAAAAAAAACAGGTGAACCTACAGTATCATTAAGACAGAGAATGTACTGTGTGGGTTAACCTAGAAGACTGTGCACGCTCAGGAGTCACAGTGGGTCACAGATGCACACACTCACCTCCGACTGTCCAGTGCTTTTTCTTTTTTTCTTTCCTGCTATGCTGGATTAATATTTCTACAGGTATTGTTTCTGTGTGCGTGTATACATTATGTACAATGAATTGTTTCTTTCCCTTTGAAAAATTAATGTGGTCCTTTAAATCTGGTTTGGTGAAATCAAGAAAGAAAGTAAATACTGTAATACACAGTGAGTAACAACACCGATTTTTAGTGCCTAAACAGACAGTGACTTCAACTTGACCTGTGATGTGTTAACATTTTTTTTCCCCTAAAAGCTACAGTACCTCCGTAACCTCTCTTTGGGGGAGGGGAGGGGAACTCTATGCTACGTGAAATAGGGTGTTCTGAAATGTTGGTGACGGTAAGGTGCCCATGGGCCCTTTTGTCAAACCCTGGTGGTGACAACACTGTATTCCTGACTTCAGCGGTCTGGGAAGAGATTATTGCCTGCCTGTTGAAGCTGCCATTAGGTTTCTTTAGGGAGTTGAGCGACTGCTCAGTTGTGCAGACGTCCGGGACATTGTCGTTCAGGCCTTTCTTTAGCAAATGAACCTGTCCCAGGAATGTCACAGAAATCATCGGGATCCACCTCTCTCCAGCCAGGTGGATACTGGTATAGGGCTGTGCTGGGAGCTTCTCTGGGCCACAGCCCCATCTGTCCTGAGGGCTGAAGGTCATGGTCATCCTGATACCTCATGGGTCAGGGCCACTTCACTGTTTGGTATGAAGCTTTCCTGGATGAGATCAAGTTTTGATCTTCAGAGTAACCCTGTGAGGTAGGGCAGGACAGGTGTTATTTCAACCCCAATTTGTTAGAGAGGGGAAACTGAGGCTCAGAGAGACACAAGTGACTTGCCCAAGGTCATGGAGGGACTTAGCAGTGGAGCAAGGGCTTGAACCCAGGTCTTTGTGACTCCCAGGCCAGTGCTCTTTGGGGTTCGTTTAAAAGGGAAGAGTGATCTTATGAATGAGAATCAGTGTGCTGATTGATCACCCCTGGGACCCCCCAAGGGCAGAGCTTGCCGGCTTGTCCCAATGAAGGCTGCCTTCTGGAAGTTAAGGGAAGCCCGCAGCTAGCAACTCTCTCCCCGCGACTACAGGGATGTCTTCTGGCAGATGCCCCCGATTCACTTTGGTCAGAAACAAAGTCAGTGGAAAAAAACAAAACAAAACCCCAGCCAGCCCTTGGGCCCTGATCAGAGAGGTTAAAGTGCACAATCTTTCTTTATCGTGTTTGCTGGGAACAGACATTCTATGATTAGCTCGGGTGTCTCCCTTATTATGGGGAACACCTGATACGAACACAAGGACATGGCTGACGTGGTGGGTGCATGGCCGACTGTGGGTGAATGCTGCAGAGCGTGTCTGCAGTGACGTGCCCTAAATCCCCACGGTCCCGGAACGGGTGTTATTGTATTAATGTGTGGCATTTATCAGAGAGTAAGTCCCACCAGGAGGCATGCGAGTCAGCCTGCTCCGGTACCCCAGCCCTCGGCCCGCAGAGCTGTGCCTGGCTGCCCCCCCTGTAGACTCCCTGTTCCAGGAAGGCTGGGGTTGGCTGGACTGGCAGCTGGGAGCCTGGCTGCCCTGCCCACCTCCTTCCCCAGAGGGGAGAAGGGCTGGCTTGGGGGGCCACAGCCGGTGGCATGTGTGCAGAGGCAGAGGCGGTTTCTCCAGAAGCCCCTCGCCTCTTTTCAAGGCTGCTCAGGGCCACTCAGTGACGTCTAGCTGGAGTTCTAGTGACTTTCTCCTTGTCTAGGATTTTTTTTTTGCCAAGTTTCAAATATCCTAGCTCCTCCTCCTTTGCAGACATTAAGGAAGAAGTCATTTTCATTCCTCTTCTTTGTGAAAGAATGAAAACTTCACAAATAAGGCGCGAGGTCAGGTGCCAAGTGCCCCCCATCTTGTGCACTCCGTGCCATCGAGCAGTCCCGCAAGGCCAGCCGTGGCGCCAGCTTCTCCGCGGCCAGAGCTGACAGGGTTCCTGTAGCAGATGCCTCTGCTCCGTGTGGTTCCGTCGCGGGGGAGGCCCCGGCCCCAGGCCTCCCGCCCTCACAGGCCCGAGACCATAACTCGGAAGGAGGGTGGCACGTGTCTGTGGCGGGGGCTGGCGGTGGGGCTGACGCAGGGGCTGACGCAGCTGGCGTCCACGCCTCCAATGGACGGGAGGTAGGCGTGGTGGAGGATGGGGAGCTGGAGGGATAGCCGGCGCTGGATGCTGTGGCAGGGAGAGAAGGAAGGGGGGTGTTAGTGAAGGCTAGTGGGCTGCTCACCAGGAAGGCCTTTGGAGTCGCTTTGGCTAAGAAGCTGATGGTGGTGCTAAGAAGCTAACTTCTCTCTGAATCCAAGATCTGTCCATCCTGTCATCTAACCACTCATCCATCTGGCAGGTGTTTAATGCAGGCCTGCCTGTGCCAGCTGCTGCCCCGGGAATAACCAGAGCAACGGCAGCAAGGAGGAGGCAGGCTTCTCGAGCTTCCAGTGATTTTTAAGAATTAGGTCTTGCCCTTCGAAAAGGGCTTTGCTGCAAACCCAGACAGCTCTCATTCGCTACTCTTGCCAGTCTCCGAATGGCCTTGGCTTTGGGTTCCATCCCGGAAAGGCTTCTCAGCTGCTCTGTCCTTCCTTATTGGCTTCTCTGCCACTGTCTCTTGTCCAGGACCTCAGTCCCTCTTGCTGGGCCAATTCCAAAAAGGTTCCTTCCTGGTCTTTCGGCTTCTTTGTGACTAGCGTTTTCTCTCCAACACTGGGATGGGGCATTCAGGGCTCCCCAAGATCTGCCTCTTGTCAAATTCTCCAGGTGAACCTTCTACCCCCTCTCCCCGAAAACCTTACCCTCTGGTGGCTAGTTTCCCCTAAAACCCTGCTTACGGGGAGGCATCTTCCATGCCTCTGCACATGCTGTTTCCCCGGCCTAGATAGCTGCTCCTCTGCTTTCCCATCTGATGACTGCTTTGCCTCTAAGATCCAGTTTAAATGTCATCGTTTTTGTGCTAACCGCCTCAGAGAGTGAGCTCCTTCCTTCTCTATGCCCCCAGAACAAGGAATTTCTGGTAAATTCCCAGAAAGGCAGCCAGAAAAAAATCTGAGGCCGGGCTGAGTCAGGGACTGGGTAAACAGGACTGATGGAGGAGTGGAGTGAAGAGGGAGCAGCCTTCTGACTACCTGCTCACCGCCACACCCTTCCGCTTGCCTTCTCATCAGTCCTCATGACCAGGAGGCAGGAGAGTAAATCACCTTATTTGTTGTGAAGGCTGCTTTGGCGGATGTGCCCAGGCCACTGCTCCCCTGCTCGGCTGTGTTTTCTGCAGTTTTCCACTGCATCTGGGAAGTTGCATTCCCTGAACTCTCAGGCCTCCTTGTGTTCCCCAGGCCTGGCCACTCAGGTGGGAAAAACCCCAGACCTTCACAAAACCCAATAGGCAAAAGAAGCACTGCTGTTCCCATTATAAAGATGAGAGAAGGGTACAGAATTTGTGTAACTTGCTCACAGAAACAGCCAGAACTGGGGAAGGTGTGACTCTTGCTGCTTCTGTTGAACCACAGTGCTTTGTGGGGTGGCAAATCAACTCACAGAGGCTGCCTCAGCCCACCAGGGTGCGCCCTGGAGTGTATGCATTGGTGGGGTTCTGAGATGGATGGGGACAGATGCAGTGCTGCCCCCACTCCCTAAGGACCTGCTGTCCAGAAGGGCTTCGGGATCCCAAGAGACCCTTCCCAGGTGCTCATGAGAGATTAGTGTGTTGGAGACTTCATTTGGAAATTAAAGTTGAGCTTGTGTAATGTCATTGGTGTTGGCAGAGTCCAGGAAAATGGGGAGCTGAAGAATGAACTTGACCTGGGAAAGGGTGTTCTGTCTGAGCATCCCAGGCAGGGTGGGCATCTGTGTGGGGTTGTCAGAGCCACACATTCTGCTGTCTGCTGGGATCCTGTTTGCCTTTTCATTAATTCATTGCCAAAAACCTACTCAGTGCTGGAAGCTGTGTTCAGTCCAAGGGACATAGGAAGGACTTAAACCTTACCCTCAAGGTGCTTGCACTGTAGTGCAGGCAGCTAATAGGTAGACCACTGATGAATGCCATGTAACCATCAGTAATTATATTGGACTGTCAGCTGCGAGGCCCTGGAGCTAATTGGGTTGAGAGGCTACTAGCTCTAAGACTAAATGGCCCCAAATGACACTGCAGTTGGTGATTGGGCTCCCTTTGCTGGTTTCTCTCCCCTTGTTGTCACTTCCCAGGGAACAAGTTTCAGAGTTGACATTTCTAATTGCTGCTTCTAATCTACTGTAAACTGGGAAGAACTAAAAATTGCCAGTGGGGACAAAGCTACTAGAGATGTCCAGGTCTTTGCTTAGATGTCACCTCACCAAGTTTGCTCTGACCTCCCTGTGTAAAATTATACTCCCTAACTCCTTTCCTGCTTAGTTTTTCTCCAAAGCACCTATCATTTAACATAACATACTAGGTTTTGCTTTTTTGTTAAGTTATTGTCTTCCCAGATAGAATGTAAACTCCATGAAGGGAAGGATTTTTGTCTGTTTTCTTCAGTGCTGTGCTTGATACATAGTAGGTCTCAGTAAATTGGTGTTAAGTAAATGTATTCATTTTATATGTAACAAAGGCAGAGAACATGGGATTTGATGTTGGAGAGACCCAAGTTCAAATCCTATCATCTCCTGCATTTAGCAACTGGTAAGCTTTGGCAAGTCACCTCCCCTCTTTGAATATTAGTCTTCTTACGTGTAATATAAGCAGTGTAATTTGACCTGCATCATGAGATTACTGTAGAGTTCAAATAAAGTAATGCATATGAAAACATGGTGCCAAATGTAAACTCTTGTGTAGGAGGAATGTAGTCTTGGGCAGTAGTTCTGAAGGAGAAGGTACTTACTGTTCTGGGGAGTTTATATCTTCTATAGGATCTTTGCATGTTCGAGAGGGCTCTGTCGTGTTCCACTGTAGCTGGGGATTTTGATCGAGGTGGTTTTTTAAAATGGCCTTTCCCCCATCTGAATGCAAAACAACAATACTGCAATAATTCTGTAAACTTAATTTTTAAAAATCAACAGTGCAGTCATTTTTAGGATACTGCCCAAGGAGAGAGAATGCAAAAGAGCCCATCTTCCCTTTGTGTTCTCTAAGCCATGGTCCCTGAGCCGCTCTCCTGAGACCAAGGCAGGGAGCCGAGAAGCCCCTGTCCAGGGATGGAAGTGGCGTGCTGGGGATGTGGATAGTGTGCCGTGGGACCTCCCTTTCTCCAAGAAAAAAAGGGAATCGAGTCGACCAATGTAGGCAACATAACTTAGAAATGAGAGGTTCTAATATGAAGGTCCTTTTCACGGGTGCATTAGGAATATAATGACAAAGAAAAAAAAGAACTCCAAGGTATATTTTCCATAAGATTGCTAAGTCTGAAAAGAATAATAATAGTAAACTGCTGGTGGGAGTATAAACCGGCATAATCTTTCTGGCAGGTACTGTCAATAAGCATCAAACACTATAAAAAGTATGTCTTTTACCCAGAATTTCCACTTTCAGGAACTATCCCAAAGAAATAATTAAGGATGTTTGTGAAACTATACAAAAGATGTTCAAATCCACATTGTTTACAATATCAGAAAGCTGAAACTAACCCGAATTTGTCGGGTAATAATGGATTAGTTACAGACTAATATGTACGTATGGGGCCTCCCATTCACAGAAATACTGTGTAGCCACAAAACATGATGCTCTCAACCATCTTTGTGCTTCAGAACCACCTGGAGAGAACTAAAGAAATATGAAATATAAAAACATGGCCCCCACCTGAGAGATGTGGATTCATTTGGTTTGGAAAAGAGTATGGGTGTTGGGCTTCCCTGGTGGCACAGTGGTTAAGACATGGTGCAGGGGACATGGGTTCGAGCCCTGGTCCAGGAATCCCACATGCCGCAGAGCAGCTAAGCCCGTGCGCCACAACTACCGAGCCTGCGCTCTAGAGCCCTCGAGCCATTACTACTGAAGCCCGCGTGCCTACAGCCCATGTTCAGCAACAAGAGAAGCCACTGCAATGAGAAGCCTGTGCACCACAATGAAGAGTACCCCCGCTCGCCGCAACTAGAGAAAGCCCGTGCGCAGCAACTAAAAGACCCAACACAGCCAAAATAAATAAATTTATATTAAAAAAGAGTATGGGTGTTTCCTTTTTCTGCTGCAGGGTTAGGGTTAGGGCAACCTTACATGTGTGTCATTTTGCATCCATGTGAATACAGTCAATCCTCTTCATTCATAGATTCTGTGTTTGTGAACTCACCTACTTGCTAAAATTTATTTGTAACCCCAGAGTCAATACTCGTGGTGCTTTCACTGTCATTCGATAACACACACAGAGCATCAGAAATCTGAGTCGCTCTCCCAGCTGAGGTTGAACAGGCTCTGCCTTCTTGTTTCACCTCTCATATTATAAATAAGTATCCTTATTGTGGTCTATGAAGTACCACGTTTTTCACATTTTTGTGCGTTGTGTTGGTGCTTTCGCTGTTTAAAATGGCTCCCAAGCCTAGTGCTGAGTGCTATCCATCGTTCTCCTAAGCCGTGATGTGCCAGATGGAGAAAATGTGTGTTAGATGTGTTGTTCAGATATGAGTTACAGTGCTGTTGGCTATGAGTTCAGTGTTAATGAATCAACAATGTTTATTAAACAAGGTGTCTTCCAGTAGAAACACACATAAAACAAAATTATGTATTGATCAGTTGATGAAAATGTCCACCTGGGAGAGGCTTGCAGGAACCTAACCCGGTGTCTCCGCTAGGAATTCACAGTTCACAGGGACTTTGTAGAACACGATTACTATGAGTAATGAGAGTTGACTGTATATCCTTAGGATAAATTCCCAAATTGGAGTTGCTGGGTCAGAACAATTTCTATTTCGGGCAGCAGTGTTTCGCCACCTGTTGCCTCCCACTCTCAGAAACTTTTTGATCTCTGATCTTTGTTAGTCTTATAGGTAAAAATGGTATTTCGCTGCAAATTAATTTGCATTCCTTTAATTAGGAGGAAGACTGAGCATCTTTTCATAAACATAAGAACCACTTGTATTTCCTTTAATGAGAACTCTTTTGCCCATTTTTCTTTTGGTTTGTTGGTCTTTTTCTTATTAGTTTTTATATAGTTATATATACTTTGTATATAATTACATATAATTTCTTTTTATATAAGAGAATAAGCTTATTACCTGAGATAATATTTTTTGGCTTAGTTTGATTTTTTGACTGTACTTATGATGGCTTTCACATTAACAAAATTTCTTTTGTATTTAAATTCATCAACTTTTTTTTTATGGTTTCTCTGTTTTGCATCAAACTGAAAAGGTTTCCCTCCTGCTGAGATTACAAAAGAAATTCTCCTATGGTTTCTTCTAGTACATTCATGGTTTTCACTTTTTATATTTAAATCTTTTATCCATCTGGAATTTATTTTTGTGTAAGTTGTGAGGTAAGGATCTAACTTTATTCTTTTCCAGATGGCTACCCATTTATCCCAATGAAATTTATTGAATAATTCATTTTTCTCCACTAATTTGAAATGCTCACCTTTACTAGATACTAAAATAATCAGGAATAATTTTTATTCTTTCAGTTTCCTTGTTACTTATCTGAATCTAGACATTTTTAAACAATCAACATCTAATATAATAAGAATTATATAATAATTCTTTTGTAATAACAATAAAACTAAAGATTTTTCATTGATTTAAACAAATTTTATAAAATTAATGAATATATGCTAATGACAAGATGCAAACAGTAGAGAAGTATATAAAATGAAACATAAAAGAATCCCTTCTCAGCCACTCTCCACACCTATTGTCCCTTTCCCACAGGTGGATACTGTTAACAATCTGGTGTTTGTTCTACCAGACCTTTTAAAAAATGCACTTACACACACACACACATATACACATACATGTGTGTGCATATTGTATCATAATGCTTGTCTTCATACTGCTTTTCTCATTTAGAGATCTTTCCATATCTGTACAAAGAGATGCACCTTACTTTTTAATAACCGTATTATATGCCTTGTTTTGCTGTATCATAATTCATGAAACCACTCCAAATGATGAACATGTAAGTTAATTCCAGCTTTTCTCGCCTACAAGTAGTGTTATGATAAGCACTATGCGTCTATACCTTTGAACCTGTGGGATTATTTCCAAGGGGAAGCCTCCCGCTAGGGGAACTGCTAGTCAAGGGGCTTAACATCAGACATTTGGAGAGTGCCAGACCGACTTCCAAAACATTGCAGGAGAGTGTCCATTTCCATACGCTCTTATCAACACTGGTAATCTTTTTAAAATTGTGCCTAAATGTAGGCAAAAAATGGACTGTGTTATTTCCCAGGCGGTTGGTGGGATCGAATGTCATGTCATCTTACTGACCATTCCTTTCCTGTACGTTGATGAGGTGTGTTTGAAACTGTGAAATGTCGGAAGAATTATGAGTACATTATTCACTAAGAACAATGTGCCCCCAGTCAGAACGCTGGGAATGCTGGCCATGTGGGGTACACATGGAACTGGAGCCCAAGGGACTGAGAAAAAGAAGCCCCATGCATAGGTGGATCCCCAGGTGGGGCTCCAAACAAACACTGAACTGCGCTCAGTAGATGTGGGTTCCAGATACTCCAGCTTGGCTTGTGTGACTTCAGACCTGCCCCACCCCCCTCTCTGAGCCTCAGTTTCTTCATCTGTAAAATGGATGGCTAGTGTCTCATACCCAGGGGTCCCACCTCCTCTTACCTGTGCTCTCAGTGAAGTTCCCCAGGTTGAGGATGTCGTTGAGTTCTTGGTAGTGGTTCTGTTTAATGTAGGTGGTCTTTTCTGGCGTGTCCTGCAGCTGCATGGTGACCTCTTCCAAGTCTTTGTCCAGCTAGAAAACAAAGGCTCCCGCTGAGTCAGAGCCCCCGGCCCAGCCCCTGACCTGGCCCCAGGTGGAAAACTGAGTTTTCCCAACTCACTAGTATAATCACAAATCTTTAAGAACTCCTTTCTTTCTGAGGATATCTTGAATCGGGCATTGCTGGACCCCAGAGCCTGGGCTAGGTGGGTAATAAACTCCTGTCAGATTCTGACAAACCGCATCTGTCTAGTTCATGTTCCTCTCGGTTCTTGCAGCCATAACGACGGTAGATGGGACTGCACAGCCATGATGTGGGGATGCTCTAGAGGGGACGTGGTGGGGAGCGGCAGCCCGAAAAGTCCCTGCACAGGGCAGAGGGACTCAAATGGGAGGAAGGGGCCCTGGCGACCAGTGCTGTGGGAGGTACCTCTGTGATCTTCATTCGCAGGCGATGGTTTTCTGACTGCAGGCCCTCTAGGCGGGACGTGCTTGCTTGGTTCACGCTGGTGACTGAGGTGGAGGTTTTAGAATCTTCTTTCTTCTGATTCTGAGTGAACTGGAATCGTCTGTTCTGAGTTGCTGCGTCTGGGTTTGTTCTCAGAGTGATGAGCTGAAAGGACAAGGGTGGGGCTGAAAAGAGGACCCTGGGGCCCTTCCTCCCATGCCCATCCAGCTGCTTCCAGCGGGTCCTGCGCTGGAGGCAACATGGGGCCCCAGGAACGACACAGGCTGGGAGTCTGAAGCCCTGGGCTCAGACTTGTTTCTGTCCCTCGTTTGTGTGTGCCCTTGGGCAGCCCCCTTCCCCTTGCAGAGTCTCGGTTTTCTTCCTTGCCACTATATGTCTGGTCTCCTGATCCTGATTGCACCCGCATCCCAGCTATCCTGCAGAGGCCACCCAGGGCCCCTCAGGCCTGGCTCCAGCTGAGCCTCACTCTACCTTAGCCCAGCTCCACGTAGAAAATAAACAGCTGTAGGTGACAGCTGTGAAGACAATGGGAGGAAAGTGAAGGCTTGTGCTTGTTAGAACCATGGCCACGGCCTCTGTCCACCAGGACCTATGGTTCAGAGGTGAGGGGCAGGGATGGAGGAAGGATCTTTACCAGGCCAGAGGCATTCAGGGCAGAGGGCTAACCATGGTGCTGGGGGGTGAGGATGGTGACGGTAAAGGAAGTCCAGGGGGAAGAAATGGCATATGCAAATGCAGGGAGGCCTAGGGCTCAGGGCACTTATAGAGAAGGGCAGTTGGATGGTGGACAGAATTCTCTGGGGGAGACAAGGAGATCCAACGGTCCTGAAAGCCAGCCCAGTGTCGGGGACTTGATCCTGGAGCCAGGAAGGCAATGAGGAGCTACCAGGGGTGGTGACAAAGCGGAGTGACCCCGTCAGAGCTGGGCTTAGAATCATCTGGCATCTTTTACAGGGTGGAGAGGAAGTCAGAATGCAGGCAGAGAAGCTGTGGTGTGAGCCTGGAGCCTGGGAAAGTGTTGACTACTAAAGGAGGGAGTGTATGCCAGAGGTGTTCTAGAGCAGAGCTGACACTGCTTAGGGACTGACTGGGCGCCCAGGAGGCTGGAGGAGCCATGGGACCCCCAGTGATCTCTCCTCTCCCCTTTCTCTAAGGCAGACACTCCCTAACTTGGGTCAATGACTTCTCAACTACCTCTGTTTCCTGCTGCTGCTTTTACTCTTGAGACCCACCAAGGTCAGGTTTTCCTCTACACAGATCAGCCTACTGCAGGGGTCAAGGCCTCTGATTCACCTGCCCACTGCTGGGTAGGATAATGTTTGGAAAATACCTCTCAGGTCAGCCCTTCAGACGAATGAAAAACATAAGTGGTTGTTAAAAATGGTTATTCCTTTTGACCCACTAATACTAATTCTGTGACTCTACCTTAAGGGAATAATCGGAAACAAGGAAAATGTATTATGTAGAAAAAAAAGTTCATTTATAATATAAAAAATCTGCAAACAACTGTAATGCTCACCAGTAAGGGATCAAGTGGTTGAGTAAATTATGGAACGTCCCCTCAACAATGGTTATGAATGTGGGAAGATACAAAGGGCAAAAGTTAAGTTAAAAAGGCAAATTGCAAAGTGTGCTATAATTACAGCTATATCTGAAAAAGCATCAGTGCCCTAAGCCATTAAAAAAGAAGCTGGAAGGAAACACATCAAAAATATTAACAGTAAAAAAACAAACCAAAACATTAACAGTGATTATTTTCGGGTGGCAGGACTGTGAGATTTCTGAAAAATCTGGTTTTTTGCTTTTCTGCATTTTCCACACTTTCTGTGATGTGAATTGTGTTCATCATTTAAAAAAAAAAGTGTATAAAACTTGTAGAAAGTGAGAGAAACACAGCAATGCCCTTGTGATGGAGTCAGAGGCCAGACGCCAGGGTGGTGAGGGCGGGGCGATTGCTGGCACCTGCCCCATACCTTTGGCACAAACACCAGGCAGAGGGTGATGGTGCTGCAGAAGATGATGACCAGGGCCACAATGCAGAACTGCACGTTAGGCTGGTCCCGGGTCAGGAAGGAGACGGCAGCCCCGATGATGCACATGATCCCCACGTTGTAGACGCTCATCCCAATGTACTTGCTGTCATTGAGTGCGGGGATGCTGACGTTTCGGGTCTCCCACGCTAAGAAACAACCGAACAACTGGAACGGTGGACAGAAAAGGGAGACGGTCATTACCAGGTGGCGGCATACACCCCTGCTCTGAGAAGCTACTGAACTGAGGGTTATTCTGTTCCTCCCCACTACTCTGAAGTGGGGGCTTGGGGGGAGGGAGGCTGGGGGTTTGCTGCTGGCCAGGTCTTCTGGATAATCTGTCTCCACAATCTGTCTCCACTTGTGGCCCTGGGTTGAGTCCTGCCAAGGAAATGCAGACTGGGGTGTTACACTGTCTGGTCCTCCTTCACCTCCACCACTGGTTCACACACAGACCCACAGGAGGCCACAGTGGGAAAGAACTTCAGACACAATCTCAACCACATGCCCTCCCTCTACAGAGAGCCTGAAGGCCCAGAAGAGAGGAAGGGGCTTGCCCAAGGCCACAGAGCAATATGGTGGCAACAGTGGACTGTGTCTCTAGAAGTTAAGGCTAGTCTTTTTTCCGTTAAACCAGGCAGAGCCCCTGTGTCTGGGACCCCCCAATGCACATAGCCACCCAGAGTAGAGAGACTACATTTCCTAGCCGTCCTTGAAGCTAGGTGTGGCATATGACTGGGTTCTAGACAATGCCATGTAGGTGGAAGTGGTGTGTACAAGTTCTGGGAAGTGTCTTTAGAGGAAAAGGCTGTTCCTCTTCCACCTTCCTAGCAGATGGAGTGGAATGTGATGGCTGGAGCTTGAGCAGCCATCTTAGACCATAAAGTCATCTTAGACCATGATGTGGAAGCTGTATGATGAAGATGAGGAAGACAAGATGCAAGGAGCTCAGATTCTAGTAGCCTCCACACCAGCTCTTTTGCTTACCTGAGAAGGCAATTATCTTTTTAAAAAACTACTATTATTGTGGGTTTTCTGTCACTTGCAGCTCTACTGCTAACCAATACATTTCCAACAGAAATGAATAGGGTAGAAGTCAAAATGTGATGTAAACTAGGGTGTTGAGGGTTTAGCTATCATGTGTTGTCTGAGGGGAAGGCAGGCTGCAGAGAAAGTGCAGATGGAATGCTGGGTAGAATGGTGGTGTGGGCAGGAGGGAGAGCTGACCACAGCTGCTGACTGCTGTAGGGGCTTCGGCTGTGGTCCAGCCCCTCCAGGAGGCTGTCCTGCAAAGGCTTCCTTTCCCTCTGGCCTTATCTCTGAAGTCTGGGGCATCCAACACCTGCATGAACCATGTAACATCATCCCAAGGGCCCACACTATCTCACAGGGCTTCTGTCCAGATGAAATGAGAGGATGGATGTGAAAGCATTTTGTAAACTGTTAATATCCATTATAAGAGTAAGTTAATTATTTTGTAATTGGTATTTTTTACAACCATAGTTGTTTTTCTCTCCTTTAAGTGTGTTATCTCACAGACTGATTTATTATTATTTTCAATTCCAATTAAAATAGGAACCAGAAGCCCAGGAAGCAGATACTGAGTGAAGGATGGAAACCACGCTGTTGAAAGCTTGCTTTGTGCTGGTTCCTTCGTGTGCGGTGCCTTCAATCCTACAGCTGGGTGTGGCTTTCCACATCCTGGAGGGGAAGAAGCAGAGGCTAGGCAAGGCCAAATGGCCTGCCTGGGGTCCCTTGGCGCTGTGCGTCAGGGCTGGATGGGTGCTCCAGATGCCTGCTTTCACAGGGGCTCTGTGTGCCTCCTCTCTGCCACAGAGGCCGATCGCGGCTTCACTTCACTGTGGAAGGATCTGAGGAGGGTGCAGTTGCAGGCATGGTTTGCACAGGATGTGAAGAGAAGATTCAAGGGTCAACCCAGAATAAGGTCGTGTGGGACTGCCCTTTCAAGTCCTTCCTAACTTTGAAATTCCACAGTCGTGTGAGGTGGGCTTGGTATGTGATCTTTGTGTAACAGATGAATGGAGTGGAAAGAGTATTGGGTTTGGAAATTGGAGGTTACCAGGCGGCCTTTGGCAAATCATTTAACTTGTCTGAGCCTGATTTCCCCCATCTCCAAATGGAGATGATTCCACTCATCTCCCACAGGATGTGAATGTGTGCTGGGTACCAACAGACTGCTGTCAGGGAGCAGGACAGTTGCAGCTGGGAGGCACACTCACAGTGAAATGGGGACATTATTTGTACCTATCTCACGTGATGGTTGTGGGATTGAAATGACACGTGCCAGGCACCGAGACTGGCAAAGAGCCAGTGCTTAGTCCTGGGGGCTCTGTTTATTTTTATGTTGATGGAGGCGCTTAGGAGAGAGAGCTCTGGCAGAGAAGCATTTCCCCCACTCTGCCTCCTGCTCTGCACCTACCATGAGAAGCCCCTTATAGGCATAGACGATGCCAAGCCAGATGGTCATGTGGGTGTTCTCGCAGTGCTCTAGGAGAGGGCGGATGGAGATGTCCCGTCCTGCCGGGTCCGGCTGTGCAAAGAGAAAACAGAAACCCAGGGATGGCACTGGGCACCCTCCCAGCAGCCAGGTCCCTGTTTCATAGCCCTTTTCCCTCCCATGAGCCACAGCCAGTGCTACCATCCAGGAGGCCTTTTGGACCCCATCTCTGTGTTCCATGGGACTCAGGCCTCAACCATTTTTGACTGCCTTCTGTTTGTTGGTCGTGATTCAGCTCTGACCTTCAGTTATCTGAGTTCTTCATGCATTTCCAGCTTGAGTCAGAGCTCAGGAGTAGGGACTGGGTCACTTCTGTGCCCCTAGTACCTAGCACAAGACCTGGCCCAGAGCAGGCATCTTTCTATAACATTTGTTAAAAGAGTAAGGGTGAGAATGAAGCACAAAGTTAGGTGTGGAGGCCTTCAGGTGTCTCTGGAATTAGGTAGTTGGGAGATAGTGTCTACTGGCTAGACCAAGCACGGGGCCTGCCAAACCCTATAAGGAAGGAGATCTTCTTGCCCACCACCTCCATGGAGGGAGCAGTGGTGGCAGCTGTGTTATGTACCACATGATGCACTCTGGGCCAGAGTTGATTGGACAAGGGGTGGGCACCTGACCTTAGGTAGCCAATCTGAGGCTTGTCAGGGACATATGAGGTTTCCTAGTGCAAAGTGCTCTCCCAAAGAGGGGTGGTGGAGAGGATCCAACCCAAGCACCGTTCTCTCTCTCAGGAATTTGAACTGAGAAGCTCCAGGAGAGAATCAGCCAGATGGCGGCAAGAGGAGAAAAAGACAACAAGGGAGTGAAAAAATATATACTGTAGGTATATATATATATATATATTTTTTTTTTTTGGCGGTACGTGGGTCTCTCACTGTTGTGGCCTCTCCCATTGCGGAGCACAGGCTCCAGACGCGCAGGCTCAGCGGCCGTGGCTCACGGGCCCAGCCGCTCTGCGGCATGTGGGATCTTCCCGGACCGGGGCACGAACCCACATCCCCTGCATCGGCAGGCGGACTCTCAACCACTGCGCCACCAGGGAAGCCTGGTAGGTATATTTTTTTAATGAACTATTTGAGAGTAAGTTGCAGACATCCTGGCCCTTCTTCACCCCTAAATATCTAGCATGTTTTTCCTAAGAACAGGAGATTCTCTTATATAACCACATATACCTACCAAATTCAGGAAATTTAACATTGATACAGTATATTATCTAATACACTACCTATTTTTAAATTTTGCTAATTGGCCCAATAATGTCCTTTAAGGACCCAGTCCAAATTGCATTTACTTAGCATGTCTGTAGTCAGCCTTGGAATCAGCCCTTCCTCCTTCAATCTCAAGACCTCACCAAGCCCAGAAATAAACCCACACACCTACAGTCAGTTAATCTTTTTTTTAATATAAAGTATAGTTTACTTACAGTACTATATTAGTCTCAGGTGTACAACATAGTGATCTTATATATATATATATTTTTTTTTTTTTACATCTTTACAGGAGTATAATTGCTTCACAATGGTGTGTTAGCCTCTGCTCTATAACAAAGTGAATCAGTCATACATATACATATGCTCCCACATCTCTTCCCTCTTGCGTCTCCCTCCCTCCCTCCCACCCTCACCCAGTCAATTAATCTTTGACAAAGGAGGCAAGAATATAAAATGGGAAAAAGTCTCTTCAGCAAGTGGTGCTGTGAAAGTTGGACAGCCCGCATGTAAATCAATAAAGTTAGAACACACCCTCACACCATGTACACACAAAAAACCTCAAAATGGCCTAAGATTTAAACGTTAGACATGACACTATAAACCTCCTAGAAGAGAACATAGACAAAACATTCTCTGACATAAATCATACCAGTGTTTTCTTAGGTCAGTCTCCCAAAGCAGTAGAAATAAAAATAAACAAATGGGACCTAATTAAACTTAAAAGCTTTTGCATAGCAAAGGAAACCATTAAAAAAACGAAAAGAGGGATTTCCCTGGTGGTGCAGTGGTTAAGAATCCACCTGCCAATGCAGGGGACATGGGTTTGAGCCCTGGTCAGGGAAGATCCCACATGCCGTGGAACAACTAAGCCCGTGCGCCACAACTACTGAGCCTGCACTCTAGAGCCGGTGAGCCACAACTACTGAAGCCCGCGCGCCTAGAGCCCGTGCTGTGCAACAAGAGAAGCCACTGCAGTGAGAGACCCGTGCGCTGCAACAAGAGTACCCCTGCTCGCTGCAACTAGAGAAAGCCTGTGCGCAGCAATGAAGACCCAACGCAGCCAAAAATTAATTAATTTTTAAAAACACAACAAACAAAAAAACCCCCGAAAAGATAGGGACTTCTGTGGTGGTCCAGTGGTTAAGACTCCGTGCTTCCACTGCAGGGGACGCGGGTTCAATCCCTGGTCAGAGAACCAAGATCCTGCATGCTGCTGGGTGGGGATGGGGGGACCAAAAAGACAACCTATGGACTGGGAGAAGGTATTTGCAAATGATGTGACCGACAAGGGCTTAATCTCCAAAATATACAAACAGCTCATACAACTCAACAACAAAAAAAACCCTATCCAAAAATGGGCAGAAGACCTAAACAGACATTTACCAAAGAAGACATACAGATGGCCAACAGGCACGTGAAAAGATGCTCAACGTCACTAATTATTAGAGAAATGCAAATCAAAACTACAGTGAGGTACCACCTCACACCGATCAGTATGGCCATTACTAAAATGTCTAGGGGCTTCCCTGGTGGCGCAGTGGTTAAGAATCTGCCAATGCAGGGGACACGAGTTCGAGCCCTGGTCTGGGAAGATCCCACATGCCTCAGAGCAACTAAGCCCGTGCGCCTAGAGCCCGTGCTCTGCAACACGAGAAGCCACTGCAACGAGAAACCTGCGCACCGCAATGAAACGTAGCCCCCACTCACTGCAACTAGAGAAAGCCTGTGTGCAGCAACAAAGACCCACCACAGCCAAAGATTAAAAAAAAAAAAAAGTCTACAAGTAACATGCTGGAGAGGGTGTGGAGAAAAGGGAACCCTCCTACACTGCTTGTGGCAATGTCAGTTGGTGCAGCCACTATGGAAAAGAGTATGGAGGTTACTCAGAAAACTAAAAATAGAATTACCATATGATCCAGCAGTCCCACTCCTGGGCATATACCCGGACAAAACTATAATTCAAAAAGATACATGCACCCCTATGTTCACAGCAGCACTATTTATAATAGGCAAAACATGGAAACATCCTAAATGTCCACTGACAGATGAATGGATAAAGAAGATGTGGTACATATATACAATGGAATATTACTCAGCCATAAAAAAAATGAAATAGTGCCATTTGCAGCAACATGGATGCAACTAGAGATTATCATACTAAGTGAAGGAAGTCAGAAAGGGAAAGACAAATACCACATGATATCACTTATATGTGGGATCTAAAATATGACACAAATGAACTTATGTATGAAACAGAAATAGACACACAGACATAGAGATCAGACTTGGGGTTGCCAAGGGGAAGGGAGGGAGGGAGAGGAATGGACTAGGAGTTTGGGGTTGGTAGATGCAAACGATTACATTTAGAATGGATAAGAACAAGGTCCTACTGTATAGCATGGGGAACCATATCCAATCTCCTGGGATAAACCACAATGGAAAATATAAAAAATATAAAAATTAAAAATATTTTTAAAATGCATGTGTATGTGTGTATAACTGAGTCACTTTGCTGCACAGCAGAGATGGGCATAACATGGTAAATCAAGTACACTTAAAAAAAAAAGACCTCAGCCTACTTCAGTCTGTTATGTCATTGATATTTCAGGTCATTTATCTTGTAGAATGTCCTTCAGTTTGGGTTTGTCTGAATGTGTTTTCATGACTGAATTCAGGTTATGTATTCTTGGCAGGAATTCTATGTAAGTGATGTTCTCACCTCCTCAGTGTTTCACATCAGGGGCATTTGATGGCACTTTGTCCCATTATTGGTGATGTTTTTGATCATCTGGTTGAGGTGATGTCAGCCAGATCTCTCCACTTCAAAGGTACCATTTCCCTCTTGTAATTAATAAATAATCTGTGGGAGATACTTTGAGACTGCGTGGGTATCCTGTTCCCCCACAAACATTAACTCAGGGGTTGCAGCTTCCATTGATGATTCCTATCTGAGTCATATTACTTTGGTGGCTGCAAAATGGTGATTTTCTAACTAACATTCCATTTAAATACTTGGCAATATATTGTAAACAAGATCTTTCCTCCCACTCATTTATGTATATCAGTATAGACTTATGGGATCCTTTTAGATTCAGTGTCTTATAATCCATTACTACTACTATTCATTTTGTTCAAAATTTTCCAGATTTGGCTAGTAGGAAACCCCCTCATGCTGTCTCCTGTGTTTTTTCAACATGCATGTCCCCATAATTATTTTATTTTATTTTTTACATCTTTATTGGAGTATAATTGCTTTACAATGGTGTGTTAGTTTCTGCTTTATAACAAAGTGAATCAGTTATACATATACATATGTTCCCATATCTCTTCCCTCTTGCGTCTCCCTCCCTCCCATAATTTTTTTGAGCACTTTTCTACCTCTTGGCACAAGAGGTTCCAGGCTCTCCTTGTATCTTCCTTGCCCTAGTCTTGGAATCAGCCATTTCTCTGAGGAGTCCTGGTTCTTTGTAGCAGAGAATAGTATTTAGAAACCGAAATCTGGGCACTGATGTGCTCACTGTTCCTAGGGTATCATTACTTCTAGGCCCCTTTACCTACCTATCTATCTATCTACCCATCGATCTACCATCATTCTATCTCTTTATCATCTATCTATATATAGATATAAACCCAACACCACAGTGTTCTTGCTTGCTCTCCCCCATTCCATATTTGCATCTTTATTCTCTTACAGTGAGATCCCTGGTTTCTAACAACATCAAGGTATTCACTCATTTTCTCAATTCTATAATAGACACAAAATAGTTTCAAAATTGCTACATCCATACACTACCAACAACAAATTTACTAAGGTGAAGACGTCCTTGCAAATCTGTCTTTAGCACAGATCCCACTGAGGGTATCTCATCAAAGAACTGTGTTCTGGATGTTGCCTCTTAAGGCCCAGGGTAAAGCCACACTCCTGAGGATAAGGGGTAGGCATGCCCAGGGTCAGTCACTAGGAAGAAGGGCCACATGGGTGGGATCCAGGGATGTGAAAGGCAGGCCTTAAGCACATGGGGGATGGAAACCCTATTTCTCTTAGCCCTGCTCACTAGGCCTGACCTTCAAGGCATGCCATTGCCTGGGTACCTGTGAGTTGGGGAAAGATGGTGCTCCCATATGGATACAGAAGGGGCTGGGAGGGGTGGAGCCGGAGGGCTCAGGCCATTTTATGGCTAGATCATCCAGCTGCATGTTCGCTCAGGCTTGATTTCCCTTTCTTTGTCCCAAGCCACAGAAAGCCTTAGGTTAGCCTCTTTGGTTCCATGATCGTTGAGTACACACACAGGCTGGAGTGCTACAGGGCTCTCTGCAGTGGTGGCAGTGGGTATTTGTGAGAGACACCCCAGGGAAAGGTGATCCCCAGGAACCATAGTCAGAGTTGCCAGGGCTAGAGATTTCCCCTCCACTGCTACTGACCCAGGAGCTGAGCTGGATTCTAAGAGTGGTGGGGGTTTCCTGATGTCATTTCATTGTGTAATTGAGGAGACTGAGAAAGGACTTGGTCCCAAGGTCAACAGTGACTTAGTGGCGTAACTTGGTTTTCTCCAATGTCTGACAACTAAGCAGACCTCAGAACGCAGTAGCACAGGCCCATTACGGCTATGCG